CTCAGGTCAGTATTGAAGTGTTCGGTAGAACCGTGTGGTAAAAGATGCCTCCTCATAGGGAGTAACATGGTCAAAAGCTTCTGCTTGCTCCCAAATCCCCACACTGGGAAAGACCAAAGCCAAATAAAGGTGTTTGCGACATCGCAGCCCTTTGGACCCAGAGGAGGAGCACGCAGCAGCTCGGGTCCCAGCAGTGTCTGTGTGCGGGTGACTGAGCTGTGCTCCCGCGCTGGGTGCAGCCCTGCTGCCTCTTCAGGGGCCCGTTGCTCTGGTTCCGAAACAGTTCCGTCCCCATCGTAAAAAGAGGGTTTAGAAATGATTTCTCATTCACCGAGGTGGGTGTTGTCGCCCTCAGAAACCTCTCCCTGTTCCCCTTGCAGATGGCTGACCATACCGAAGTCATGCAAGGAATCACCCAGCTGCCTGGTGTGAGTTACCCTGTGCTCACCCCGAACCTGAAGGGATTCCAGGCTGCGGTAAGAGGTGGCAGCATCAGGACATTCCCAGTGTTCCCAGGCTCTGGTTAAGGATGGGAACTCTATCTTCCATCCCGCAGGCAGCAGTCTCATCTTGTAGTTCCTTTCCAAGGGATTGTTTTGCTGGGGGAGTAAGGATCTGTTGTTTGGAAGTAGAGGATCTTAAGGTCCTTTCCAACCCTAACTATTCATGAGTCTATAATAGAAAAGACCTTCAAACATCTTCTATTGTTAAAAAGACACCTGTTTGAATTGGCAGTGGTGCTGTCAGTCTTACCTGCATGTCCCACAGCACTCCTGACTACACCCAGCTTTACTGCTGACTCTGTAAGCTTACACTTCTTTGATGTGAGACTTGGATCTCATCATGGTTTTGCTATAGAATGAACTGAGGAAAGAACTGGGTTATTCAGGAGGAAAGTGGGGGAGACTTTTTGATAGAATGGGAGCATTGCAGTTGTGTTTGTCCTTCCCCTTGCAAGAGAAATCAGCTCACTTGAAGTTGTGCTTTCTGCTGGCAGGTGGCAGCGGGAGCCAAAGAAGTGTCCATCTTTGGGGCAGCATCTGAGCTCTTCACCAAGAAGAACATCAACTGCTCCATAGATGAGAGTCTGGAGCGGTTCAGTGAAGTGATGGCAGCAGCGAGAGCAGCCAACGTTCCTGTCCGTGGGTGAGGGATTCCTGCTGCAGGCAGAGATGTAACTGCCCCGCTTCCTCCTTGTGGAGCTGGCCTGGGCAGCGCAGGGGGATTGCTTTTCAGTTTTACCTGGTTTTGGGGGGTGTCTCTACTGGGATGGGTGCAGGACATGGGAGCTCAGTGCATGGAGAAGCATTGGTGTGGGAACAGTCACATAACACCCTGGCTTTTGGACTAGGAAATGAATTCTTCCGTTGTATGGAGCATGTGAGGTGCAGCACGAGCCCTGACCTGGCCGGTACAATCTCACTGCAGTTCTCTAGCTAAGGGTGTATTTTTTAACCACAGATACGTTTCCTGTGTCCTTGGCTGTCCCTACGAGGGGAAGATTTCTGCAGCTAAAGTTGCAGAGGTGAGTTCATCGGCTGGGTGGGGTTTGTCTTGCTTTTATGGAACTGACTTGGACACTGAGGGTTAAATGGTGTCCAACCATTGAACTGGACTGAGGGGAGACTGGGGAAGGCTACAGGGAGCTGCCACCACGGCGGGGAGGGCTGAGTGGAGCTGGAATGGATGGGAATTCAGGGAGCTGTGGGGACCCGGAGATGTTTGATCCTGGAGAAGAGTCCCCATGGTGCTGCGTTCCAGGGAAGCGTGCACTGATCCCTGTGTACAGCCAGTGTCCCTCTTTGGGGAATGGGATGACCAGGCTGCCTTCTCAGTAAACACCTTGGCTTTTGGACAGGTCTCGAAGAAGATGTACTCCATGGGATGCTATGAGATTTCCCTCGGTGACACCATTGGCATTGGGACCCCGGGGAGCATGAAGGAGATGCTGACAGCTGTCATGAAGGAGGTGCCAGTTGGGGCTCTGGCTGTTCACTGCCACGATACCTACGGGCAGGCTCTTGCCAACATCTTGGTAGCACTTCAGGTAAGATCCTTGCTTTGGAGTGTTGCATCTTTCCGTGTTTATTTGGGGCTCGGTTTTGTGCTTGCTGTAAGCTGTGGATTTGAGGGGTAGGATGAGGCACAGTTCATTGTTTAAGGGTTTACTGATGGTGGGGTCATTTGCAGATGGGTGTGAGCGTGGTTGATGCTTCCGTCGCTGGCCTTGGAGGCTGCCCCTATGCCCAAGGAGCATCGGGAAACGTTGCCACAGAGGACTTGGTGTACATGCTGCACGGGCTGGGCATCCACACGGTAAGCACCAGCCTGCAGCAGCTGAGCCCCTCGCACTGTGCCTCTGCTTGGGCTTCAGCAGGGGTGCAGAATGTGACCCAGGGAGACTGAGCGAAGCGGGTAGAGCTATGGAGGATCCCTCTGGGTCTGGTGGGGGCCTTGTTGTGCCGTGCCAAGCCCACTCCTCCGCCCTTTTCCAGCGCGTTTGATTTCACCCTCACTGTCTGAGTCACACCAGTGAGCAGCAGGCACCCAGGGCCTTGTGAAAGCACCCACTGGGACCCCTTCACCCCTGCTGGTCTGTTATGGGGCAGTGTGACTGGCAGAGCTGGTGCTAAGGAGTGTCCTGTCTTTCTTCCCATAAAGGGTGTGGATCTGCAGAAGCTGATGGATGCGGGCACGTTTATTTGCAGTGCTCTCAACAGACGAACCAATTCCAAAGTGTCCCAGGCCTCTTGCAGACTGTGATACCAAATGGAGTTTCTCCTTGGACCAAGAAGAAAGCAAGGATCCAGGCTGGCTGGGTTTCCCCTCTGATCATGGGTGCCCTTTCCAGACTCAGTGCTTGGGAGGAAATGCATAATCCACCAGAATCAGTGATGAAATGAGAAGAAACAAACCCCAGGACTACTGTGTGCAACCTTGATGCCATCAGCCATCTGCCTTAGGGAAGGGAGGATGCGATGGGCTGGGGGAGCCGCAGCCCGTGCCTGGGAGCTGTGGTCTCCAGCACCAGCTCAGAACAGGGTCTGGTAACTTCTGCCTTGAGAGTGTGTTGCCGTCATGCTACCAGCAGGGGATAAAGCACAGCTTTTGCCATTGGAGCCCGTCTCCAGGTCAGGCTCGACCCCTCTTCCCTTCTCTCTCCTCACTACAGATGCTAAGGCTGAAACCAAAGGACTCCCCTTCCTCATTCAAGTGCCAGGGGCAGCCTTGGACCTTCTGCCTTAGTGTTTAGGGGTTGTCGTCATGGGCTGTATCTGTTGTAAGGTACTTCTAACTACCGGGAGTAATGAACACCTTATTTAATATTCTAAACTGTTAGAAATTGAGTAGAATTAAATGAGCTAAGGAGCTTTTGCTGCTGGTTTGGTGCCTTTTCCATTCACCCTGGGCTGGGGCAGTGTGGAACACACGTGTTCTGTGCACAGCTGTGTGTGTCCTGTGCACAGCTGTGTGTGTTCTGTGCACAGCTGTGTGTGTTCTGTGCGCATGTGTGTCCTGTGCAGAGCTGTGTGTGTCCTGTGCACAGCTGTGTGTGTTCTGTGCACATGTGTGTCCTGTGCACAGCTGTGTGTGTTCTGTGCACATGTGTGTCCTGTGCACAGCTGTGTGTGTTCTGTGCACATGTATGTGTCCTGTGCACAGCTGTGTGTGTCCTGTGCACATGTATGTGTCCTGTGCACAGCTGTGTGTGTCCTGTGCACATGTATGTGTCCTGTGCACAGCTGTGTGTGTTCTGTGCACATGTGTGTCCTGTGCACAGCTGTGTGTGTTCTGTGCACATGTGTGTCCTGTGCACAGCTGTGTGTGTTCTGTGCACATGTATGTTCTGTGCTTATGTGTATGTTCTGTGCACACCTGTATGTGTTCTGTGCACGTGTGTGTTCTGTGCACACATGTTCTATGCACACACGTGTTCTATGCACACACATGTTCTATGCACACACGCGTTCTGTGCACACACATGTTCTATGCACACACATGTTCTATGCACACACGCGTTCTGTGCACACACGCGTTCTATGCACACACACGTGTTCTATGCACACACATTCTGTGCACACACGTGTTCTATGCACACACACGTGTTCTATGCACACACGTGTTCTATGCACACGCGTGTTCTATACACACACATGTTCTGTGCACACACGTGTTCTGTGCACACACGTGTTCTGTGCACACACATGTTCTATGCACACACGTGTTCTGTGCACACACATGTTCTATGCACACACATGTGTTCTATGCACACACGTGTTCTATGCACACACATGTTCTATGCACACACATGTTCTATGCACACACGTGTTCTATGCACACACGTGTTCTATGCACACACATGTTCTATGCACACACATGTTCTATACACACACATGTTCTGTGCACACACACATTCTATGCACACATGTTCTATGCACACACGTGTTCTATGCACACACGTGTTCTATGCACACACGTGTTCTATGCACACACGTGTTCTGTGCACACACGTGTTCTGTGCACACACATGTTCTATGCACACACATGTTCTATGCACACACACGTTCTATGCACACACGTGTTCTATGCACACACACGTTCTATGCACACACATGTTCTATGCACACACGTGTTCTGTGCACACACGTGTTCTGTGCCCACACATGTTCTATGCACACGCGTGTTCTATACACACACATGTTCCATGCACACACATGTTCTATGCACACACACGTGTTCCGTACTCTGCTGGCCCCGCCCCTTACCTCCTCTGAGCCCCCCCTCCCCTCACTACACCTCCCCCCGCGCATGCGCGCCCCGTGTCTCTCGTGTCCCCTCTGCCGCCCCGTAGCGCCGGTGACGCGTTTCCATGGGAGAGCGGCGCGCGTGGCACCGGCGGGGCGGGGCTCGCGGCCGGGCCTTAAAGGGGCCGCACCGGGAGCGGGGCAGAACCGGAGCGGTGGCAACGGCGGGAGAGGGAGAGGGGCCCGACCCCCCCCGCAGCAGGGACCCGAGACCCCGGGCCGCTGAGGTGAGTGCAGCCCCTGAGCTGCGGGCCCGGCCCCTCGGGTAACCCCCGGGCAGGGCAGCGCCGCGGGGCGCCTTTGGGTCTCGGTGCGGCTCCGGCAGGGGTTGGAGCCATCACCGGGTGATAACGGGGGCTCTGCCCCGTCCCCACGCTCCAGGGGCTCGCTTCTCGCCTGGGGCCTGGCGGCCCTGCGGTCTGCAGGGACCCGGTGCCGCCGTCCTGGGAGCCTGGGGGTGGGATGGAGCCGGTGCTGGGAGGGTCGGGTCGGGGGGAAAGGGGGGATTTGAGTGGGAAGGGGCAGAGCTGGCACCCCCGAGCACAGCCCCCCCCCATCGCCGCTGTCGGACGGGTCCTTCCCCTCGCGCTCTGGGACGGATCCCGAGGGATTTGCGCTGCAGGACGCGGGTCCTGCAGGATCCCGGCTGGAATTAACAAGGAAGAAGGAGGGGTTCCCCCCGGGCCGTGACACGTGTCAGCCGCACCCTGCCTGTGCGGGAGGTGCGAGCGGTGCCGCACGGTGCGCTCCTGCCCTGCCCAGCCCTGCCCGGATGTCCTGGTGCACGCAGGGCTGATGCGGCGCTGACCACGTCCTCCCCGGCCCTTCCCCTCTCAGGGGCTTCGTGTCCCCCCTTCCACTGAAGGGCCCTCCCTCCCCAGGGAGCCATGGCAGAGAAGATCCTGGTGACCGGCGGCGCTGGCTACATCGGCAGCCACTGCGTGCTGGAGCTGCTGCAGGCTGGCTACGTCCCCGTGGTCATAGACAACTTCCACAACGCCATCCGAGGTACCGAGCGCCTTCCTCCCATCCCATCCCATGCCAGGGGCTCGGCCCCTCTCCCCCTGTGCTGGGGGTGTTCCAGTTACCCCAGCGCCTCGCTCCTTTCCCTGTCCCCAGGGGCAGATGCGCTCCCCGAGAGCCTCCGGCGGGTGCAGCAGCTCCTCGGCCAGCCCATCCTCTTCCAGGAGATGGACATCACCGATGGGGCAGCGCTGCAGGAGCTCTTCAGCAAGGTGAGAGCAAGAGCCCCAAGGAGGGCTCCGAGGGGTTTGTGCTGGGGCTGGGAGGCAGGAGCTGGGTGGGGAAGAGAGCGTTGGGGAGATGCTGGGAGCAGCAAATGCTCCCCCTGGCCATGGAGAGGACAAGGGCTGGCTGGGGAGGCTTGTGGCTGCTTTCTGCCCTGAGCTCCTGCCTCCTGCTAACACCAAGCTCTTTGTCCCGTGGCAGCACCACTTCTCAGCCGTGATGCACTTTGCGGGGCTGAAGGCAGTGGGGGAGTCAGTGCAGAAGCCGCTGGAGTACTACAGAGTGAACCTCACCGGGACCATCCGGCTGCTGGAGGTGCCTGGAGCCAGGAGGAAGAGTGGTTGGGGCTGTTCAGCCTGGAGAAGAGAAGCTGCGTGGAGATCTCAGAGCAGCTTCCAGTGTCTGAAGGGGGCTATAGGGTTGCTGGGGAGGGACTCTTCATTAGGGACTGTAGTGATAGGACAAGGGGTAACGGGTTAAAACTGAAACAGGGGAAGTTTAGATTGGATCTAAGGAAGCTCTTCCCTGTGAGGGTGCTGAGGCACTGGAATGGGTTGCCCAGGGAAGTTGTGAATGCTCCATCCCTGGCAGTGTTCAAGGCCAGGTTGGACAGAGCCTTGGGTGCCATGGTTTAGTGTGAGGAGTCCCTGCCCATGGCAGGGGGTTGGAACTGGATGATCTTAAGGTCCTTTCCAACCTTAACTGTTCTATGATTCTATGTGGTGCTGGGTGCAATCCTGCTCGGGAGGGGCTGAGCCGGGATATGGAGCTCGCTGGCTCAGCGGTGGCTGCTCCCCGCTCCTCAGGCCATGAAAGCCCACGGCGTGAGGAACCTGGTGTTCAGCAGCTCTGCCACCGTCTACGGAGACCCCAAGTACCTGCCCCTGGATGAGAAGCACCCGGCTGGAGGCTGCACCAACCCCTATGGCAAATCCAAGTACTTCATCGAGGAGATGATTCGAGATCTCTGCAAAGCAGAGAAGGTGCGGAGCCGCCCCTGGGTGCGCAGGGCTGGGAGCTGAGCTCTGCCCACTGGAGCATGCTGGGATGACCAGGCACTGCATACGGGATGGATGTGTCTCCCCCGGAGCTGGATGTATCCCCCTTGTGTCTCTCTCTCTCCCCAGGACTGGAACGCTGTTCTCCTGCGCTATTTCAACCCCATCGGTGCCCACGAGTCAGGCCTGATCGGAGAAGATCCTCAGGGGATCCCCAACAACCTCATGCCCTACGTGGCGCAGGTACTGCCCCGCTGCAGCCGTCACGGACCCCATGGCTCGTGGTGCCTGTGTGGGGCAGAGGCTGACGGGGCTCTCCTGGTCTTGCCCCTCTGTGCAGGTGGCTGTGGGGCGCCGGGAATTCCTGAACGTATTCGGGAATGACTACGAGACGGATGATGGAACGGGTATGGATGGAGCAGAGAGGCCCCAGGAGCTCCCTGCCCAGCCTGGCTGCACCCCTTTGGGCAGGAGAGCTTTGCCCTCAGCCTCTGCATCCCCGCAGGCGTCAGGGATTACATCCACGTCGTGGACTTGGCCAAGGGCCATATCGCTGCTTTGAAGAAGCTCAAGGAGAACTGCGGCTGCAAGGTACCGGGGGCGGTCAGGGCTGTGGGGCTGGGCCCTAGGGTTGCTAAAATGGGGCCTGGCCCTTGTCACCTTGCACAAGCAGCTGACCCATGTCTTCTCCTCCTTCCAGATCTACAATCTGGGCACAGGCACCGGCTACTCTGTCCTGCAGATGGTCCAGGCCATGGAGAGAGCCTCAGGGAGGGAGGTAAGGTCTGACCTGCGCCTGCAGGGCCACAGGCACAAGAAGCCCTCAGTGCCCCAGCAGCACCAGGCACCGCTCCTTCAGCTCCTGGGGCTCGGATCCATCCCCTCCACTGAGCCCCTGGGTGCTGCTCTCGCTGCAGATCAGGTACAGGATCACGGCCCGGCGCGAGGGGGACGTGGCCTCCTGCTACGCTGACCCCACGCTGGCCGAGCGTGAGCTGGGCTGGAAAGCTGCCTTTGGCCTGGACAAGATGTGTAAGAGCATCCCCAGCCCCTTCCTGCCCTGTGCCAGCTGCTGCTCCTCTCCTACCCCCCCTGACCCTGGCTCTCCCTATTGCAGGTGAGGACCTGTGGCGGTGGCAGCTGCAGAATCCCACAGGCTTCAGCAAGAACTGAGCCATGGCCCCGGGGCTCCCCCGGCTCCTGGGCTGCTCCCCAGTGAGGCTGTGATCACCCTGGGTGCGACTCCAGCTCCCCTCCTGCCTCTGGCGTGGGGCAGCCCCAGCCTCTCCACTCCTCACCCTCCCCACTCCCCCAGGTCCTTCGCATCTCAGAGCAGAAGCACAAGGGAAAACGCAGCCAGGGCCCTGCTTTGGCACCCAGGGCACAGAAACCCCTGGTGGGACTGCACAGGGGCCGGTGCCCACCCTAGCAGGGACCTGAACCACCCCTTCCCTGCTGCACCCAACCCGCCCAGCTCAGGGGGCAGGGGCTGTCCCTGGCTTAAGGGGGAGACCAGGGCTCCCACTGCCCCCTGCCCTGGGGCTGAGCACCTACCTCATGGCCTAAGCCCCAGGAACCCCCTTGATCCCCAACATCTACAGGGACCAAGCATATCCCAAGCCCAGCTCCCCAGGGGCAAGGCCCTGATGGCTGCCAGGAGCTCCCCCCAGACCTGTGCCTCTTTCTGTCCCCAGTGTGGTTTTGGGGACAAACCCTGTGCTCCAGAGGAGCCCCAGTCATAACCCCTGGGCCCAGCTGTGCTGCACACAGCCCCCCTGCTGCCATGAGATTGGGCTGGGGCCTCCTTTGCTTCCACATAGCCTGGGGCAGCCACTTCCACAATCCCATTGCCAAAGGCTGCCTGGGAGCAGGCTCTGCTCCGCTGCCCAACATTGCTCCTATTGATCCCGGGTGCCCCCACCCGCAGCGGGAGCGGCGGTGCTGCTGCCCCTTGGCTCCATAATTTATGTTCCTAAGTTATGAATGGAGCTTTTGAGTTGGTGGAAAATAAAACTTCCCTGCTTCCCAACGCGGCAGAACCAGCAGCCGGGGGCCTGGCGCCGGAGGGGCCACGAGCGACGCCAGCGCAGCTCTGGGAGAGGTTCACCATTTATTTCACCTTGTTTGTGACGCTGTGGAACACACACAAAAACCCCCAAACATGGACGAGGAAGACAAAAAAAAAGAGAGAAGAAAAGAAGAAAAGAAAAGAGCTGCACTGAGGAATGGCGAGGAGCTGTTCTCCCTCCCGGGCCCTCAGCATGGGAGGGGGAACCAGCAGGAATGCTCTGCCCAGGGGCCAGCGTGGCCACCGCGCCGTGCACGGCTCCGGTTCACAGTCACATTGGTCAGTGCATCCATCCATCCATCCATCCACCCATCCATGCGCCAGCCCTCGGGTACCCTGCGGGGAGCTGCGGCCCCGTCCCAGCCCCTCGCACCCTCCCAGCACAGGAGGGGAGGACGCAGCAGCGTTAAACCAAAGTAGAAGCAGCAGCAGGACCGGACCCAAAGCAAGGGAAGAGCCGAGCTCCCCCCGCCACCAGCAGTGCGTTTGCTGGTTTAAGACTTCCTAAAGGGGGAAGGAAAGGAAAACCCACCCCAACCCAAAACAACCCCGGAAACCAACCAAGGCTGGGTCTGACGGAGCCGATGCTCCGCGGAGCAGGTTATTGCTTTGCGTGTCCCAGGTGGGAGGGCACGGCTGGAACGGAGCCCCCCACCCCTGCCTCCTGCAGCAGCCGGACGGGGCTGGACCCTCCCGGCAGCAGGAGGGAGCAGGGTCCTGGGGCTGGGGCAGGTTGGGTGGTGTGTTCTGGTGTGGTGGGTACAGCAGTGCCGTGGGCTCAGCCCAGGGGAGAGGCGAGGAGAGGGGCAGCGCTGCTCAACAGCAAGAGCCCTCAGCCCTGTGGGATGGGAGGGGATGGCAGGAGCCCACCCCATGGAGGGGACATTCAAGGCCCCAGGGGGCTGGTGGGGATGGTCCCAGCCAGGCCCTCATGAGAGAGGCCAAGCCTGGGCTGCAGCCTCCAGCTGGCTGGGCAAGGGAAGCCAGGAAAGCTGTGATTGTACAGGGAAAGGCCAACAGAGCCCCCAGGATGGGGCGCAGCAGCACCCCGGCATTAGATGCTGGTGAGATGATGGCTGGGAGCAAACCTGCTTCCTCCAGCTGCACCAGGAGCCATCCCTGGGGACCGGTGGCCTCTTCTCTCCTCACCTCCCCCTCCCCGTGCCAGCCCAAGCCCAAAGGGAAGGAGAAGTAGCAGCAAGAGAGACTGAAGGATTGGGCTGGCACCGGGCGGGCTCCGTGGCAGAGCCACTCGGACGCTGGCTGTGAAGGGCAGCGCTCTGGGGCTCTGAGGACACAGAGCTGGGCTGAGGGAGGCAGGGACGGCTCCGGGCCCCGCACGGGGCTGAGGGGGAGATTGTAAAAGCAACAGGAGGAGGAGGTGATTATCTCCAGCAGGGCAGAGCTGCCCCGAGCCGACGGCTGAGGCTGCTGGGGAGTGTGCGTGTGCGACAGGGCAGGGGCCAGGCCCCATGCGAGGAGGTGCAGGAGCTGCGCGGACCTGGCTGCAGCCCCGGGCTGTGGGGCAGCCCTCGGTGGTACCAGCCCAGAGCGGAGCCTCGAGGGGTCCCCATGGGAGAGTCCCGGGTTCCTGAGCTCTGACCCAAAACCCGGCACTCGCCCGAGCGGAGGGGATGGGCTGAGGGCAGAGCGGGAGCAGAGGGTGTCCCGGTCCTGCCCTGCAGCCACCCCACTCCTCACTTCCCACTGCACCGGGGGCACGTCCCACCCCTAATACTGGTACAAAACAAACCAAACCCAAGAGGAAAAGCTCACCCGCACCGTGCCGGCCCCGCACACCGCAGAGCCTGACCCGGGGGAGCCAAGGGATGGGGAGACCCCCCCAGAAATCGCTCAGAGCGAGAGAAGGAGAGAAAAGGCCGCTCAAAGACTCGCCTTAACTCCAATCTCAGCTCCGAGAGCAGCAGGGAGAGACGAGCACCCCCGGCCGGAGAGGATGCGGTGCGAGGAGACGGGGAGAGGCGGGATGTGCGGAGGGGGCCATGGCTTCCGTGTGCAACGGGCAGGTCACGGGGGAAGGATCCGCAGCTGCAGCCTCAGAGTCCTTCCCTGCCACAGTCTGGATTGGCTCCGCTTAGATCCGGGGCAGCAGCTTCTCGATGAACTCCTTCACTGCCATCATCTCCTGCAGAGAGCAGAGCCCATCACTGCGAGCACAGGGCCACGAGGGCTGCGTTGAGTCCAGGAACAAACACATCCCACATCTCCTGGACTCTGCATTGTCCCTGTCCTGCCTCACCCACCATGCTGGGATCAGTCCCAAAGGTCCCGTCCCCTCTCTCTGCCCGAGGCACTGACCTGAGGACAGGAACTGTGCATCACCCCGGGGTAGGTTTTGAACTGGACCTTGGTGGGGGTGACGACAGATTTCAGCTTCTCAGCCGTGAGGGCCCCGAAGCGGACGGGGATCATGGGGTCCATCTCCCCGTGGCACTGCAGGATGGCAATGTCCTTGTTCACACCGTTGTTTGCTGCCTGCAGCGAGGAAGGAAGGGCTCAGGAGAGAGAATACACAGCAGGGAACGGGGCCAGCGCTCTGTCTGCATCCCTGGGCAAACCGCAGCGAGGTCCAGATGGGAAAATCCCCCCCCCTTCCCAAGCCCTCCCTATGGACACGTGTGGAGCGTGAGGTACCTGCGGGAAGGCTTTGTGCAGTGGGAGCCAGCAGCTGAGCGCCACGATGCCGGCCAGCTGGTGCTGGCAAGTGAGAGCCGTGTACAGCGACAAGGCACCACCCTGCAGGGAGGGGGGGAAGCTCCATCAGGGATCCAGCCAGGATCTGCAGCCCCGGTGTGCCCCGAATCCAGCTGTCTCCTCACCACCCATCTCCTCTTGGAGGGGCCCCAACCCTCAGCCTGCTGCCCATCAGCCCCGCTCACCTGTGAGAAGCCCCCCAGGATGATGCGGTTGGGTGGGATCCCATTCTTCATCTCGTGCTCGATAATTGCTTTAACTGGAAGGAGACAGCGGGTTGGGATCACAGGGGAACAGAAAGGAAGGAGAGGTGGAAGGAATGCACCCGCTTCCATCCCAGTGAGGGAGAGGCACCCAGGAGCTCAGTGCTTCCCCCTCCCCAAAGCTTCTTACTGTTTTCTGCAGCTTTCTTGATTCCAGCTTCATCCTCAGGTGCATCCGGAGTCAACCCCATGAGGTCAAACCTGGGAGAAGCAGCAGGGTCAGCCCCAAACTTATCCCAACACAGAGTGTGGGGAGGAAGGAGCTGGGTGCGCTCTGCCCTCCCCCTGACTCCCACAGGGCAGTGCATTTTGGCCCTTCAGTGCCCCCCATCCCTCTCACCCTCCAAAACACCCCCCCAAAAAGGGTCGCACCCACCCCTGCCACCCCAAGTACTGACCACGAGGGCATCACCATCTTCATGTTGAGGGTCACAGGGATGCGGGGCCTGCAGAGGGAACGGTTCGGGTGGTTTAGTTCAAGTGCAGGAGAAGCAATGCTGAGCCAAGGGGAGCGGGGTGACCCTGCTGCAGGGCCAGCAGCAGATCAGTGCCACCAGAGCCAGCCCAGCCCAGGGGGAAGGAGGAGGAGCTCCGGTGCTTTTGGCTTTTAGAGCCACCAGGCAGAAGTGGAGGACAGGAGGAGGGAGAAAAGAGCCTCAGAGCAGCAGCTCCGGTGCTCATCAGCTCTGTGGGGACCACTCTGCCTGCAGAATGGGGCCCTGCATAAACTGCCCACAGCAGGAGAGCAAACCTCACTGCACAGCCCCGGGGGCAGGTCAGGGCACAGGCCACCCATCCCCAAACAACCCTGGCAGCATGAACGGGTGCCAGAGCCCACCCAGACCCCTTCCCAAAGCAAGGCCAAGCACTTACGCGTGGGGGCAAATGTATTTCACATAGGGCAGGCGGATGGAGGAGAGCGCATCAGCCCAGCTGTGCCTGTGGAGAGAGCAGAGCAGAGGAGAGAGTCCATGCCTGCCTCAGCACTCAGGAGGATGCTGGTGAAGGTCAGGGGCTCCCCAAGGACAGGTTTTCTCCAAGGCTGCTGCTCCCCTGCCCCTGTTGGGATGTTATTTCAGCAGCTCCTGCCCACCCCAGCAGCCTGAATCCCATTGTGGACCCCGGCACGCACCTCCCCTGCAGCAAGGCAGAGGCAGCACACAGAGCCCTGCAGCTCTGGCAGAGGAGCTGCCATGAGCAGGAAGGGAGGGAGAACGTCCTGTGCTACTGCTGTTATCTCTCACTGTCCTCTAAGGCGGCCTTGCCCATCAGAGAGATGCACTTGCACAGACCCTGCCCATCTGCCAGCCCTCGCAAGGACTGGAGAACCACAGCACGCATCTGCCTGCCCGAAAGCAGAACATCAGACCCTGGGGGGGTGCTGCCAGGCTGCTGGGATCATACATATTCAATGCACAGAGCTCTGGAGCATGGCACAGGCTCGAAGCCCTGGACAACCCCCGGAGCTGCCCTTGGCTACAGCAGCACCAGGGCTCACAGCCAGCAAACCCCAAGCCGGCGCCAAGGATACTCACCCCGTGTCTCCAAGGCCATGTAAGAAAATGACCTGTTAAATTAAGCAGAAAAACAAAGGAATTAGCTGGGGGAGAGGCAGGGCCGGGCTCACGGGGCAGAGGCAAAAGGCTGCTTAGTCACTAACTAGAAGGGACTCCAACAGGCAGACAATACCTGATGCTAATGATGTGTCTTGGCACCTTTGAGCATGATGGATGGGGAGGAACAGGCACATCTCTGTGCCACAGAGCCTGCTGTCACAGCCAGCTCCGGGGGTGCCACAGGCCAAGGAGCAGTGGAGCATCCCACATGCTGCATGGCACCATGGAGAGCGGAGCTTGCCAAGGTCTCACACAACCCAGCCCCATGGGCCCCATCAGGGTTAGGGCAACCCCTAAGCCACGGGGAGCAGAGGATTTTCTTTGGGGGGATTTGCCTTTGAGAGCTTAAAGAGCCAAATGAGACCTGACTCTCACTGCCTTCCCCACAGGCTAAGCCCACGCTGGAGCAAGCACCAGAAACAAACAGCCCAGCCCAAAGAGCAGCTCCTTTTCCCCAGCAAGACAGGACCTCGCTGGTCCCGCATCCCCTCTGATGCACATCCATAATGCCGAGGGATCGCCGGCTCCGCTCCCAGCTCCTCTGAGCCCCACGGGAATAGCTGTGATCCTCAAGGCTGCCACAAGGGAAGAAGCCAACGCGAGGAGCCTGGTCCTTACCGCGGCCGTCTCCCGCTCTGCCCCTGAGACAGTCACTGCGTCAGCGAGGAGGGGGACAGACATGTTGTTACCACACATACACCGAGAGGGACTCAGACACTGGCACCTGCAGGACAGAGCGACAAGGGTAAGGCAGGAAAAGAAACTCCTCTCCCCCTGCCCCGGCAGCTTTTTGCTCCAGAGGGACCAGGCATTGAGGGGAAGATTAAAGACTATAGGAGGGCTTTGATGTTTAAAGCCCTTGGGGCAGCCCCGCTCTGTTGTGGGCCCAGCAAGGCTGGAGAGGCAGGAAGCAGCAAACACTTCCCCTGCTGCAGCACCACCAGATGCGTGCGAGCGGGGATGAGCGTGGGGAGCGTTAAAATTAGCTCTTGCTGTTACACCTCAAAGCCAAAGTTGTTCCTGTGATGGTAACGGCGTGGGCAGAGGGCGGCCGGGCCGCGCGCAGCCTCAGCATCCCCTCCCCGCTGTGCTCGGAGCTGAGGAGGAGCCTGACCCACATCTGCTCGCACCGGGAAGCAGGAAGCAGCAGCAGCGCGGGCTTTACAGCCCCAGTGGAAGGGCCAGCCCTCTTTTATGGAGCGTTTAGGGATAAATCAGAGCATTCAGACGCTGGCCTGAACCCAGCCCTGTGCTGACACCCAGAGCCTGTGCCCCCCCCCCAGGTGATGGCATCCCTGTCCCCTCTGCTGCTGTCCCACGGCTGCTGTCCCCATGGCTGCTGTCCCAAGGCTGCTGTCCCCAAAGCTGCTGTCCCAAGGCTGCTGTCCCCATCACCACCACCACCTCCTGCAGCACCACGGTCCGGCTGTCACCTCGCAGACCACGCTCACTCCCGGGGCAGGCAGCTCTGGCAGAGCTGAAGTCCCCACGCACGACACCGCCTTTGGACACAAACCCCGGCAGCGTTCACTCCCGGTCCGGCCCAGATCCCGGCAGCCCCTGACCCCCCTCTTACCGCCCAGCACTGATGCGATCAGAGCGCGGTGACAGCGCTGCCGTCGCCCCACGGAGCACGATCCCCGCCTCGGGTCCGCTCCAGCCTCCCCGCCTCACAGCAAGCCCCAATCCCCACAGGGTTCGGATGGGACGGGGCCACCGGCACCCTCCCGAGGAGCCGGCACCCCGCCGCCAGGCTCACCCAACGCAACAGCCGCCTCCTCCCGCAGCCCGGCCCCGTTCAGTGCCGGCCCCGAACCGCGGGGACCAACGGGCTCCGGCGGCGCTCGCAGCCCACGTGCTCCTGTGTACTCCCGGGGCAACGCAACCGGCAGGGAACAGCCCCCGCCCGCAACCCCGGCTCCGGCGGCTCTGCCCCGTTCCCAAGGGATTCGCAGCCCCGAGGCCAAAGCCCCCCCCCCCCCCCCCCCGTACAGAGCCGGGGACCCCGAGCCCAGCCCCACACCGACAGCGCTGCCCCACGGCCCCGACTCGTTATTGAAGTGCCCCGGCCTCTCCCGCAGGCCCGGGGAGCCGGAAACCCTCAAAGCCCGCCTGAAGCGGGCCGGGGCTCGGCGTCCCCCGCGAGGAGGAAGCCGGGCTTTGGGGGTGATCCCCTTAGGGCCGCCTGCGAGCGCGGCCCCGGTACCGGCACCGCTCCCCCGCCGCGCCCACCACGAGGCCGGAGGGCGCCGGGACCCACCCGGGGCCGGAACCACAACGGGCGGGGGGGGGGGGGGTGTTGGTGTGAACGCGGAGCCCCCGCAGCTGCGCCCCCGCTGACCCCCCCCTCCCCCCACCCCCCAGTGGTACCTCCCGCCCCCCCCCCCCCCGCACCTCTCCCGCGGGCCCGGCGCGCGCTCTCCTCCCGGCTCCCCCTGACGCGCTCCCACCGGAACTTCCGCCCGCCGGGTCGCGGCGGAAGTGACGCACCGGCCGGCCCGCCGGGGGCGGCCATGATGGCGGAGGCGTTCTGAGGTAGCTCCGTGCACCGGGGAGCGGCTCCTCCTCCCCCCGCCTCACGTCCCGTGCCTGCCGCCGGCGAGGCCCCGAGCACGGCCGCTGCCCCCCCCCCGCACACACACAGGCTGGGACCCGGCTCCGCGCACGGTTTATTCAGTCAGAGAAGCACCGGAACCAAAGCGGAGCGAACGGCCGGGAGCCGCAGCCTCCGCCTGCACCGGCACCACGCACCCTCGGCCCCAGGCACGGCGCTGATCCCACACTGCGGGATGCAGGAGGGGTGGTTCCGGCCCAGCCGTTGTCTCTGCACCGGGGAGGCTCCCGGCGGCGCCGTCAGGAGATGAAGTGAGTCTGGGGGGTGAACTGCTCCAACTGGTGATCCGCGGGGTTTGCCGAGGCTTCGTAGTTGCAGATGGTGACTTCATGGCGATGAGCCTGCGTTAACGTTAACAGTGTTAGGCCAAAGGAGGACAGAATTCAAGTCCCTTGTAAAACACCCGGCTGGCCAGCGCTGAGCTGGGTGCTGCCATGCACCGTCCATCACAGCCCCCCCCCCCCCCCCACTTCGTCCTCACCACCACAGCCCAGCTTCGGCTGTAATTTAAAGCTAGTTTTACGCTCTTGGCAGCGTTGTTCAACCTCTGCTCTTGCTCACCTCCATCCACTCTCCTTTCAGGCCTATGTAAAAGATCTTCGTTGTCTCTGCTCCGAAGTTCTTCGGGAAGTGGATGGAGAGGTGGTGAACATTGGAGAAACGGGCAATTCTGAAAGAAAACGCTGAAACTGGAGCTGTGTGGGCAGGATCCTGTGG